GTTATTACCCATATAGAAAAATTAGGTTCCCCCTTGGTAAGTTGTAATTTTTATCATTATGGTATGACCTTAAAAAATACCTGATAATGCTTTTGCCTGTGTTGTCTGGAATTAATAATAGAATAGCTATACTGGCTCTCTTTGGGTTCTGTGTAATGGGCGTATCTTCTCCAGTCTTCTTTTTTCATCCTTTCTTTGACTTTTAGATATCTCATAGTGTTATTAAAGATTACTTTATAGTTATTTTTTCCTAATTATTTTATTCAATTTACGTTTATTATAATTGTTGGCATAATTGTATTTATAGTAAGTACCATCTTATTATTCTATTTGTTTAGTATTTTACTTCATGTCTTTTGGTTTTAAAAAATTTAATCTGTTTCTCTTTTGAAATGTATTTTTTCTGGGAATGCAGTTGTAGGCTGATGGTAATTTTCAAATTATTGATTAAAGATGGAATTTCATTGTCTTCTGGCCACAGTTGCTGCTAAAAAAAGTCAGGTATCAGAGCAACCATTGCTGTTCTGAAGCTGATACTCTGCAAATCAAATGAGGGCTGACTGTGTGTTTCATTTCCTGTGAGTTTGCCCTCAACCCCTAACTCAGTTCAATAGGGAGTCATAGAGATGGTGGAGATATTCCTTTTTCTTTCTTTTTTTATTACTAAGGATTGAATGTGGGGTCTCTGTACATGCTAGGCAAGCACTCTACCACTGAACCATACCTCCCAGCCCTTTAAAAAAAATTCTCATTTTGAAACAGGCTTTTGCTAAGTTGCCCAGGCTGATCTCAAACACGTGATCCTCTGAGTAGTTGGTCCACGGTGTCTGGTAGGGGTTCCTTCTGGTTTACATGTATTGTACTCAGTTGTGGCCACTGCTGACTACTTGTGTTTGGGCCTGGGCTGGGGAGTCTTCATTGTATTTTCTACTTGTGAGGGACTTCAGCTTTGCCCTCACTCCTCTTGTTCACCTTGTCAGAGAAATAATTTTGGTACAAATACCAGGTTGAGTACCTCTGGGCACTACACAATCACTAGCTTAAGAATTTGGTGCTAGTTTGTAGATGTTTTAAAGAAACTTTATTCTATTACATCTATCATTTTTGGTTGCTTTCAGAGAGGTAGTGTCACCAGGTTTCTTGCCCACTATATTGTAAGAAATGAAAAATCTTATATTCTTTAAGGTTCGGAGAGTTACTAAAGCTATACTAAACTATGTAAAATAACTGCAGGTACCTTGAAACCTTTAGAGGGAAGATCATAGTTTTACTAAATCTATGAAAGTAAAAATAATGTCAATATTTTAGATGTTAATTTTGGCTCTCTTTATTGGAAAAGTAGGCATGTAATTAAAACCAGCAGCAAAGCTTTCTTTTTTAAGATTGCATACAATACATTATATCTACTTAACACCATGAAACAGTACAGCTTTTCATTAGTAACCTTGATATTTTTCTAATAATCATAGTTTTTATTCTCACGACATTATGAAAAGAGGGCTTTGATTAAATGATAATTTAGTCTAGTTGGCCCTTCCAAAGAGTTAATAAGCAGAAAATAGCACTAGTCTTATTGCTTGTGTTACGTCCCACAAGGGATTCCAGAGTGACTAGGACAGCTTATTTCAGGCAGTCACACACTGAATTGGCCTGACAGCCTCCGAGTTTATAGAGCACTGAGTTGACTCCGGACCTCTTTGCAACCTAGGTGCTAAAATAGTTGTAGTTTTCTAGGGCTAGGAATGAATCCTCTAGGAATTGACTGACAATTGTGATACAAAGTATATGTGAAGGTTCCCCCATAAATAGCATCTTTCCTTCCCACATTTGGGGAGAAGGTTTTAGAACCTTATGTAGAAGTAAAAGCAAAAGAAAGAACAGAACAAAGTATCCAGAACAAAATGTCATCTTCATATATGATGTAATGAGGTCATAGATTCTGAGGGCAAATGGACTTCCTTATATTATATTAAACCTCCACATGAGGGCAGCTTAGTACCTCCCAGTTAGAGCAGCCTTCTCCTAGTGTTTTAAGTACACATTATATGAGAAGACAACTTGAGTATGAGTGGGTCTACCCCCAATGAGAACAAGTAAACTGAGCACTTAGGCACATCCATTTCACTTTTTTTTTTCCAAATTTGCTAAACAGGCAACATATTTTTCTTAAGTGCAGTGAATAAAGGAACAGAGGGAGGCTACAATTGGCCTTTATTCTGTTTGCATGGTAGGAAATAAATTGGGAGGAAGCATTCTCTCTAGTACTCTTGAAATATGCCAGAAGTTTGAGGAAATCAAAGTACATTGTAATTTTCTGTTCTGGCAATCAAAAGTTCATACAGTATGCTACTAGTAGTAATGAGAAGAAAAATTAACACTTATGGAGAACATGGTACTTTCCATGATCTGGATTGTTAAGGCAATCAGATGGCACAAACACTTATCAAACTGCCTCATTTTATCTTCGTTTTATAGATAGGGAAGCTGAGGCACAGAGGTGAAGGTGCCTGAATCATATAGCTGGTAGAATGCAAAGCTATGACTTAGACTTAAATATCACTGAATAGTTTCTCTTTTAAATTTCTTTTTTTGTAGTTGTACATGGACAGAATGCCTTTATTTTATGCTGTGCTAAGGATTGAAACCCCCCAGTGTTTCACACATGCTAGGCAAGTACTCTGCCACAGCCTCAGGCCTCTTTTTGTTTTTACGCAAAAAAAGACATCATATTAAAGTAATGCACACATACTATAACAATCCAGACAGTGTAAAATATGGGTGAAGTAGCATTGGTAGACTCCTTTTCCTGTGACCTACACCTGTTAGAATCATCATTATCAGTGTTATTTTTCTATGCTTTTCCTTTGGTTGTGTATATTTTAAACAAATGTGGGATTATATTATACAGATAATTCTCCATTCAGTATTTTAAATTAAAATATACCATGAAATAGTATGCTTACATATTTAATATTAGTGTTTTATAAATTTTCTCCCAGACTGAGAAACTGTGAGGCTTAATGTTGTCATTATGAGCAGAAATTTGAAATTATGAAGTTTAAAATATATATATTTCATTCTTAGTGCCTCTTTGTCCTAAAAAGCTTTGCCTACTCAAGATAGTGTATTATGATCTCTTGTAGAAGTTTTGTGGTTTTAAACTGTTATTGTTTGTTGAAGTTTGTCATTCATCACAAAGTCGTTTCCAAGTATGGAGTTTGCTGAGATGCTTTTTATGGTCCATAGCATGACCTAATCTGGTACTGTTTTGTGTGATCTTGGAAAAGTGTGTTCTTTTGTTGAGCAGAGTGCTAGGTGAATGTGAAGCTTGGTTGGTAGTGTTAGCTGTGTCTTGGCAACTGTGGACACTGCTGCAGTGAACATGGGAGAGAAGACATCTGTGATACTGACCTCAATTCCTTTGGTTATGAGATTTCCAAATCAAATGGTAGTTCTACTTTTAGTTTTTTGAGGAACCTCCATAGTGTTTCCCAAAATGATTAAATTAATTTACAATGCTTCTAATAGTCTACAAGGGTTCACTTTTCCCTCATCCTTGCCAACAGGTATGATTTTTATCTTTTTGCTAATAGCCAATTTTAACAGATATGGAATTACATCTCATTGTGGTTTTAATTTCCATTTTTCTGATAATTAGAACTTTTGAGCTATTATATATATATATTATATATTTTGAGTTATTATATATAACTTTATATATCTATTGGCCATTTTTATTTTTTTGAGAAATACCTACTCAAGTCCTTTGCCCATGTTTTTAATAGAGTTATTTGTTTTATTGTTGAGTGGTCCGAGTTCCTTATGTGTTGTTGATATAAGCTCTGTAGCCAATGTATGATTTATAATTATTTTCTCCCAGTTGGTGGGTTGTCTCTTCACTGTATTAATTGTTGCCTTTGCTGTGCAGAAGATTTTATTTGATGTGAACTCATTTTCTGTTTTTCATTGATTGTGTTTATGGGATCATATCCAAGAAATATCTTCCTTGATCAATGTCATAGGAGTTTTTCCTGTTTTTTTTTCCTAGTAGTTTATAATTTCAAGTTTTATATTTAAGTGTTTAATTCATGCTGAGTTGATTTCTTTACATAAGGATTAAGGTAAGGGTCTACTTTTATTCTTCTGTATTTGTATATCCAGTTTTCCCAATGCTGTTTATTGAAAAGACACTTTCTTTTCTCCATTGTATGTTGTTAGCATTTTTGTCAAAAATCGGTTGGCAGTGAATGTATAGGTTTATTTCTGGGCTTTATTGTTTTCTGTTGATGAGTAGACCTGTTTTCATGCTATATTGACTATAGTTTTGTAGTACATTTTGAGATCTGGTCGTCTGAAACCTCCAGATTTTCTCTTGTTCACGATTTATTCATCTATTTTGGGGTCTTTTCTGGTTACATAAGAATGGGAGCTGATTTTTTTCTATTTTTTTGAAAAATGATACTCAAATTTTGATAGGAATATTATTAAATTTGTGGATCTCGTTGGGAATTGTGGACATTTAAACAATATTCTTCCAATCCATGGACACAGAATACTTTCCATTTATTTGTATCATCTTCAATTTCTTTCATCAAGGTTTTATAGTTTTCAATATATAGATCTTTCATTTTCTTGGTTAAATTTACTCAAGTGTATTTTTTTCTGCATTGTAAATGAGATTATTTTTCAGATTGTTTCAGATGTATAAAAATAATACTGATTGGGGCTGGGGTTGGGTGTAACTCAGTGGTAGGTGTTGCCTATCGCGTGTAAAACCCCAGGTTCAATCCCTAGCACTACCCTCTTATACCCCGAAAAGAGAAATGTTACTGATTTTTGTATCCTGCAATTTTACTGAATATATCAGTTCTAACAGTTTTTATTTTTAACTTTGGTTTTGAGAGAAATTATTGGGTAGAGATTTGTCTGAAGAAATGACATGCATATATTCCTACTACTAAATAATAGTCTCTGAATTTCTCCTTGTTTGATCTCCCTAGGAAGAACGTGTTGTGAATCACATGGCTGCAAAGATTATTGAGAATGTCTGCACAACTTTTTCAGCTCAGGCGCAGGGCTTCATTACAGGAGAAGTTGGACCTGTTTTATGGTACCTATTCAGACATTCCACCGTTGATTCTCTTAGGATAACAGCAATTTCGGTAAGATGGAACATCTTTTGGGGACATATCTTTAAATGCCAAGTTTGAAGACATGTGCCAGAGTAAGAGTAAACTTAATTCAATTAGTAGAAAACAGAAATCTCAGAGGAATAGTTGGTGATAGCAATAATTTGATTTTTTTCTTTTTCCTGAAGTGGAAAACCTTGGGGGCTATGAGGAAATTCCAGTAAGACTTTGTAGGACTATGACAGTATTTTAAAAGCTATTTGGAGGTGATAGTGGAAAACTGTGGCAATAGGGCACAGGATTTGGTTTGTCATATTTTTAGTGTTTCCTCCTTTTTCTTGTTAGTAGTACCCTCTCTCAGATTTTGTATTAAAAGATTTTATCTTATGTGGTTCAGAAAAGCTAATTTTAATGTTCAGGCATCTGTGGTCTGACTTTTTATGTTTTTATTAGTTGTCTGCTCTTTTGTGCACATGATTATATAGTAAAGGACAATTATGTATGAAGATGTGTTTGCATGGTTGTATCAATTTAATATTCTGAACAAATGCAAGCCTTTTTCATAGGATTTATGTAAGTACTCTTTTTGGTTACCAGTCTCATCTGGCTTTGAACATTATGTGGCACTCTTACTGTACTTCTCTTGTCAGCTTCTTCTCTGTGACAGTTTCATACTTTCTTTCCTTAAACTTCTAATCCCACATTTCATCCTGTGTCCTCACTGAATGAAGTGTCCTTACTGCTCAGAGAAAAATGGGGACATCTGCTGGAAATTATTTGTTTTCCATACCTATTGACCTATTTACATGTACACCTCTCAATTCTTTCCCTCATAGTATAATTGATGAGCTGTCCTTTCTCCTGTCAGGGACAAACTTCTTCATGTTTCTCCAAATCATCTTCTTGGTTCCTCCTTGGGAACTCCTATGGCGACTTTTGTTCTTTTCCCAAGTCTTGAACTTTTCCTTCTCCACTGGATAATGTAGTTGGGACTCAAGTATTTTTTAATCTGTGCCCCTTCCCCTTAAAGCAAAAACAAACATAGCAAAAAGTACCTTCACAAGCATACTCTTCACAAACACACGGCTTTAGAGTTTCTGCACTATACTGTTGTTCTTTTCTGGCCCATGTTTCTTCCTCAGTATCTGGTAACTATCTTAAATGCTTCTGAACCTGATCTTGGGTCACCAATGACTTTCATGTTGCTGAAACTTGTGGATGTTTATGATTTCTTTTCAGTTCTTATATCACCTCTGTAATCTTGAAGATCAAGGGCTAAAAATGCTGCTCTTTGAATATCGTTAAGAAAGAGTATATATTATCCATTTACCTCCCCTCACAGACACACACACACACACACACACCTCTCTCTCTCTCTCTCTCTCTCTCTCTCTCTCTCTCTCTCTCTCTCCAGCAGAAACATGTTTTAAAAATTTAAAAGAAAACAACTCATTATGCTATTAATCATGGGGAAACTATCAGAAGGAGTTGGAGTACACTAGTGAATTTCCTCAAGGCATCTTTGAACTATAGTTTATGGGGTTTATGTTAGCTTTTCATCTTTATATTCAGCATCGTTTCTTTTCTTGGCCAAGTTTTTTCCAATTGTTCCCACCAAATTTTCATACCTTCTAGCCCTTCCTTTCTTCATCTGAGGCATCAAGCTAGATTTTTTTCATCTTGTGCTTCTTATACTCTGTTCTTAACATTCTTCTGAATCTAATGACTTTTCATTGAGATTTTGCCAATGGTCCCAACAGTGTCTTCTTTACTTTTCTGCTCCAGGATCCTATTCAAGTTCATGTGTTGTATTTTGTTTTCATAGCTCTTTAATCTCTGCAGTCTGAAGCAGTTCTTCAGACTGTGTCTTTCGTGACATTTATAATTTTAAGAAGTGTACGGCTTTTATTTTGTAGCATGAGACCCCGTTTCAGTCTATCTGGAGTTTCCTCATTATACCTCCATAGCATCCTTTGGCTCCTAACTGTCCAGCTGCCACATGATGAACATTCATTTGTATCATTTCTTTTACACCAGGGATTGCTAAATACTTTCTATAACAGACCAGATAATAAATGTTATGAGTTTTTTTTCCCCACATGCAGTCCCTAATGCATGTTTTGTTTTGTATTCAATAGTCCTTTAAAAATGTAAAAACCACATTTTGTACTATTCATGAACTATATAAAAACAGGCCTTAAGTGTTAGTTGGTATTCTTTTTCAAGGCACCACTGCCCCTTCTCCCATGTGTGTGCATGTGTGTATATTTGTATCTATATCATTATGGATTCCTGGATTGCCACAATTTTCAGTACATTATAATGTAACACTCCTATGACTACTGGTACTGATGCTTCTCATTTTAATCGATACTTTAGGATTCTTTCTAGTCTTACCCTGTGCCATGTTTGTAAATCCGGAGAAACTTGGCTCCAATAATTCCTGTTATATTTACTGATGTGTTTTATCAGTTAATTTACTCCCTTGGTGTAATAAGCTTCCACCATTCTGGCCCCCCTACTCAGTGTTACTCTTCTTTCTTCTGGCCACTGCTACTGTCTCCTCTGTCTCCTCTTCCCCTTCTTGACTCAGCACTCTGTTTCTTGTTGTCCGGCTTTCTTACAAGGTGCAGTTTGAAACTGGGAGGAGGTTAAGAAGGATAGGTTAAGGAGAGTGAGGGTTAGCAGTCATTTTTAATGTTCCCTTCTCTTGGCTCCTTCTGTGTCACTGTTAATAGCCTGCTAGTCAACCTGCCCCGTGATTCTAATGCAGATCTGTCTACCTCCCTCTGCAGTACTATGCTATCTCATAATTCATGACACCACTGTCTCTCACCTGGACCATTGGACTAGCTTCTTAAATGGTCTTCCAAAGGCCAATTTTATGCATCACCAGTTCTGTTCTGCACACACAAGTGAACTTCATGAAATTGTGTCTCCTCTTCTGCTTAAAATTTCAAACGACTTTTCCCCTTCCCTCCAGAGGGATTCACAATACTTTATTTAAAGTAGTAGGTAGAAGTTATGAATTGATAAGTGCTTTCAGTTTTAGGGTAATATTTAAAGCAGTGAGCATACTTTGCTTAGCAAACTAGTTATGTTAGTTTATTTTATTATAATGTGTTATAGATAATGAACTCCTTGAAATCCAGAATTATGTTTTGTGCATCTTTCAGTTTGATGCCAGGTATGTTGATTGACATTAGGGCTTTTTCCTGCAGAATTTGAGGGAACCTCCTCTCCCAAGTGTGAGTAGAGGGCAGGAGGTTACTTACATTAACTTTCCCTCTTTACTGGGAGGGGTAAAAAAGTGAAAATAATAGGGGCGAGTGATCCTAATATCATAATCTTAAGCACATTACACCTATATTGTGAGCAGATTTATATGAGAAAGACAGGTTTTAGAAACTAGGAATTTGTGGGCTAGGGCTGGGGGTCAGAGGTAGAGCACTTACCTAGCATGAGCAAGGCCCTGGGTTTGATCCCCAGCACTACATTAAAAAAAATAAACAAAATAAAGATATTGTGTCCAATTACAACTAACTAACTAAATAAATAAATAAAAAAGAAACTAGGAATGTGTATTCTGAAGATACTTCACATACATTCCTGGCAAGAAATAACAGTTGCTTCCTCCCTTGGGGGCCTTGCTAGAGGTGAACTTTCTTCTCAATTATTTTTTCCATATTCACCTCTGAGGAATGTGTCATGGAGGTTAATGTACCTAGTTGGTGTTGAAATTAAGAGTTCTTACCATGACTTTTCAAGATCGTTCATGGTTTTGCCACTGCATTGCATATTTTATCCCATCTTGTAACACTAGTTCCCTTACTTAGTATGCCTCAGTCAAGCTTATAATTGGATATTTTCTAGGATTTTTGCACATTTTTCAGTCCTGGGACCTTTCCCCTTTCTTTTGCCTGTACCTGGGATGTTTTCTGCTGGGTTTTCACATGGCAACTCCTCATTTTTCAGGTCTCACCTTATGTGTCACCTCCTCCGTTAGGATGTACCTGGCTCCTCTTCCTTCCCATTGTGATTGGTTCTCTTCTTATTTTCCCCTCACAGAAATGAACACAGCTGTATTCCACTTATTTATATATGGTTTTCCCTATTAGAGTGTAAAGATAGGAGCCCTGTTGTTCCTCTCCTGAACACATGGAAGGTGCATCGAGACTGGTGATGTTGATTGAATGAATGAGCATTGGGCGAGGGATAGCATTGCTTAGCTCTGAGGCATGAACCTGCTTCTTGATCCACTTGTAACTGTCAACATTTGCTGCCTCGCACTGATTTTCTGAGTCATTTCTCCTAGTGAGGTCTGACCCCATAGATTCCCCTACATCATTGTGGTCCCCAGACAAGCAGCATCAACATCAATTTTTTGCACCCCAATTTAGATTTGCTAAATCAGTATCTCTTTAGGGAATGAAAGGTGGTAGGCAAGGATGGAGGCACAGTAATCTGCACTTCAATGGTCCTCAAGATAATGTATAACCTGTTGAAGTATGAGAACTAGTGCCCTGGGAGAGTACTGAAGACTAGAAGGGTTTCTGAGATCTTCTAGCCCTTAGAAAACACCAGTGTGGTTTAAAGTGCAGATGACTTATTTCTTTTCCTTAGTGGTGACATCATTCATAGGTATTGGTAGTTGGAGGAAGTGGACTTGAGTTGGGGAAGTGTGTTGAATAGATAAAAGTGAATCTTAGAATTATTGGGATTATAGGGAATCTCTTTATGGGAATCACAGTGGGGACTTGAGAAATTAGATTGAGTAAAATGGCTCCTATCGGGGAGCTGACTGATGTAATCATAATTATTGAAGTGCTGGGATGAAAAGGTATCAAAAAATAGGTGGGATAGTGGTTCTCACTACTCTCATTAGAGGTATGGGTAGAGTGAGCACTTTTCAAGCAACATTAACTACTTTCTCTTCTTTCTCTTCACCTTGAATTTATCTTGATATATCTTAAGATCTTTCAAGGCTCAGATGAGAGAGTGTATAGTTTGAAAAAGCTTTCAGGGTAATATCA